ACAGTCCTAACTCATTAGGAAATGGGACCTTTCAGAGATGGTTACATCATGCAGGCTGAGCCCTCACAAATGGGATTAGTGCCCTTAGAACAAAGGCCCTTCCTCTATGTGAGGACGCAGTGAGAAAACACCATCTATGGCCTCACCAGACACTGAATTTGTCATCATCTCGATCTTGAACTTCCCAGCTTCCAGAACTATAAGAAATAAACATATACTGCTTATAAGCCACCTAATTTGTTGCAGCAGCCCAAAGGGACTAAGCCAGAATTGCACTCCCTCTGTTAGATTTCCTCCCACTCAAGTCGCTGACATGTCTCTCCTTTCACTGATACCACATTCTCTCAGTTACTGTAGCTTTGTAGTAAATCTTGAAATCAGGTTCTATGAATCCTCTTGATTTCTTCTTCCTTTTTTTCAAAATTGTTTTGGCTTGTGTAGGTCCTTTGCTCTTCCACATAAATTTTAGAATCAGCACGTCAATTTCTACCAAAAACAAAACAAGCTTGCTGGGATTTTGATTGGAATGTTGTTGCATCTTGCTTAAAATAACTCGCGTTGTTTTCATTTCTTGCTTTTCACCAAGACGGACAAAGGCTGCTTCCTACACCTTGCTGTCAGGTTGCCCTCTCAGTTCAGTTAGCCTGTGGGTCTCTGGTCAAACTAGTAACAAAGACAGGAGATGGGTTAGCCTCTTCCCAAATCCTGAGCCTCAGGTCCAATAGACAGCTGCTGTAATACACATCCTAGTGTGTTGTGGGTGGTACATACCTCAATCCCCATTCCCAACACTCCATTTTTCTTCCCTCACCTGACATTCCCTCCTTCCCTTCCCCTCTCAGCCACCCATCACCTCAGCTTAAAGGTAAAGGACCTTTAAATCCACATGCAAATTTATTTTTGCACAAGAAATTCAAGTCTATCCATTTCCCTTTCCCTGAACTCCCTCCCTCACCCTGACCAACAAGGCACCACCATGCCAGCTCTCCGTCCCAATCCACAAGGTGACAAA